TTCCCCCCCCCCCCCCCAACACACACACACACACACACACACACACTCACACCTCCTTTATCAAAACTCTGACCTGTCAGTGATCCTGTGATAATCTTAAAATTTTTCTCAACAAAGGTGACAAGTGTTCTCCCTATGTTTTTATCAGAGACGATTGTGGTTACATTGTACATCTGCATTATGTGATGTTCTTTTGCTTGGTCAGTCGTTCTTTGGTCGTAATCGTGCGGAGATAGATGGACCAATCTGGACGGCTCATAAAATTATCCCGGTTCCTCCATAAATCTGATTTGATATTTATCTGCCTGGTCCACCTAGTACCTGGCGAAGTAGTTGTAACCCCTGGTACATGAGGAAACAGGACGTCGATTCATATCATTTTTGCTGTGTGTTTCCTGGTTAATCTTCTCTGCGACTTTTAGCTTTCTATAAATATTTTTTATTATTTCCATTACAGGACAATACGGGGTACTTACTTTTGTGAACAATGTTTTAAGTAGATTAAGGAATTGAATTCTTCGTAATACTTATAAAATCCTATACATTATTCCTTAATACTTTCAACAAATTTTGTACTGTAAAATTTATCGGGGACGCTGTATAAAGCCTGCCTCATCCGAAGATTAAAGTTAGGATTAATATTAAAACTTAGATTAAGATTAAGATAAAGAATCCACATGTACAAATCCGTAAAGTCGGACTGGAGAAAGATTGGGACAGTACAACATTGGGGCTGCAGAAGAATAAACGTGAACTGATTTTTTTTTCATGTGTTTACAGTGCATGGTCGCTGTAACCTACATTTGTATTATTATTATTGATGTAGAGGGAAAACTTGTAACAAGTTGTCAACTTGCATTTTCAGATTGCGTTGTGTGTAAAAATGGATCCTGAATGCACAGAGTCATTTGAATTTGTCGGACGTGACTTAAAATAATTATGTATGAAGCCAGGGGTCAATAGGGAGGTTCCCGACACCCCCCCCCCATTTTTTTTCAATATACGACCCTGAGTGATTAAAAATAATAAGCCATTTCACGAAAATTCTGACCAGAATGCTGTGGTGTAACTGAAAGAGGACAGGTAAAAAAGCTTTTAAATATTAGGTCCGTCTAAATGATGTGTACAGCGAGTAAGAGAAGTTCATTTTTTTACGCGCCAGTCATTTCTCTTATTTCACGTTGAATAACACGCTTTTTGTTTTTCAAAAAGACACAAACAAGGCAATCAAAAACCTTCCCAATGACACCTTATAACCCCTCCCCTCCCCCTTCTTTCCTTTGGCTAGCCGTTATGAGGAACAAATCTGATATCCAAGTGGCAATGAAGCTTATGAATGACTATTCTTTTTCGTGTTTGGTACATATACACTAACAGTGTCCTGCCGTTCCTTAAGTCCGCAATAACCGTATCCTGGAAGTTGCCGAAAACTAGGGCTTCAGGGTCAACAAAACAACCTGTTGACGAGACCTGAGCTTTTGTTTCTGAGACACTTAATCCGATCTAACTCGTTAGCGGCTCACTAAACCCGGACCCTAACAGCCCTACCTACACACTGCATCCTGTCCGTGGGTCAAATCAAATTTATTACACCTGGCATATTTCCGGGTTGGGAAGACTATAAATGAAGAGCGGGGCAATAAACGCATTATTCTGTTCTGTTGTCCAGCAGAGACGACGACAAACCTCTGTAGAAAAGATGGATCGTTTTTGTGGCATATTCCTTTGCCTTGCGTCTTTAGTTGCGATCAGCGCGGCATCAGAATTAGGTAAGCTTATGTTTATATACTTTTTAATTATTAAATTCCTTTTAAGGAGGTGGGGAGTTGATATTACATAAAAGATAGAATATATTAATTCCATCAAATTCGTTTTTCTCCAATTAAAAAAACTGTGTAACTGCACATTTTTTAAATGGCAGTGCACTTTTCGACTTTAAGAACAAGGGATTTTACCATCAACAAAGTGAGGAAGAAGTTGCTACATGTACTTACGACCTGTTGTCTCTTTTGCACGTTTTTCTTGTGAGTCTAAAGACGGATGTGGAATCAGTTAGATGGTTTTTCAGTTGTCTAATCAAAAACATGTCACATCAGTCAACACTATGTTTTTGGCATATATAATTTAAACAACAACTACGGGAGAATGCGTATGTGTTTGACTGAGCTGGAAAGATACATTTTTGGAGGTATATGGGGTCAGGTTAGGTGCAATTACAATAAACCCAAAGTTTAGACAGTCTCTATTTGTTTTATTCATATTGAAAAAACACAATCAAGACTCTTAAAAGTTACTTTAAAAAAGACAGCGCTATATCAAAATTAAGTCGTATTCCGAATTCCCTTCCTGTTAGAAAGAAAATAAATAAAGAAATAAATTTGAATGATAAATAATGGAAATAAACTGTTTCAATATCACAAGGATCGAAAAAAAAATACACAGTCACGGCACTAGGCACAAGTTTTATTTATTTTTAAAGGTTAAATCGATTCTCATTTCAGCAGTTCGAGCAAAGCGCGAGATCAACGTGGATGCAATTCGGCAGCGCGTGGAACAGCTAATGCGCACGGGGAACATCCCCGATGCCGTCGTCAAGGCCCTCGGCTCACTGGACCAAGTGATGCAGATTCTGAGCTGCTTGCCTACTAGATGTACCGGGAATTGTTGCGCGAGTCCTGATTTCTGCGCCATTCCACAGTTAGCTTCGGGGTTGGTAAGAAACCCGAGGGCAAAGTTCACCTTCTGTAAGAACCCTTGGAAGATCCGCATTGATCTGGACGCCGACTTTCGACTTAGCGGCATTGCAAGACTATTGAAAGTAAGAATGGGGTTTATACTATATGATATTATGATTGTTAAGTCGTGGCTTTTGAAAAAGGTGATACTATAATATATAGATAATTATTATCATTATTGTTATTATTCTTATACTTCGTACAATTTGTCCGGAACCGTGCAACTTTAGTCAAGGGTGAAAATTACAAATAGGTTCGAAATACGGACACTGTTGTTAACTTTTCGATGGATAATGCACTAATGGAACATTCAGGATTGGTGGTCAGAAATCTTAACGTAGAAATCTCTCTGCGGACTTTACGCTTTGTATTAAAAATAAGGGATTTTATAGAATTACGTGGCAAATAAATAGACTACAGTCAAATACCTTACGTGTACTTAAATTGTCTGTGCATCATTAAATTTTCGTTCAATCTGTCTTTATGTATTTAGATTTAGATTTTAAAAAGCAATCATTAACAATAAACATATTTTTGTATCTGTAGATCAAACTAAAGCCTATCGAGATACCCATCGACAACAGAGAGACTGAGGGCGTATTAAAGATGCAGTCGACCACAGAGGTCGCCTCTGCTGCCGTCAGAGTCATCGGACTGCGCGTAGCCAAAGCTAAACTGAAGTTCGATCTTCTCCTTAGATACGACTGTACTAAACCACGAAACAACCCATTGCAGCGAAACAGGTGCGTTCACATAACTTAATGATTCCAATTTCTTCATGAGGATGAATGATAAGCCTATAATGGATGACTGTGTTTACTTTTTATTTGAATTATTTGCTAACGTCTTGCTTTGGTCTGCAAGCCCATTTCACGAGTCCATGTTTATTTTCTTCCTCACGTCCCTACAGGTACATAATTTCATTAACAATGATGTCTACATTTACGCATAGGTTAAGATAAATTTTACATAGGTAATTTTTGGCAGAGTTAAGGTAAATTCAAAACAGTTTTACTATCCTAATTTCTTTTTTAATTTCTAATTTGATATCCTAATTTTTAAAATAAATGAACATTTTATCATTATTTATTTATTTATTTATTTATTTATTTACTCATTTAATAAATTATCATGTTTCCTTTCTACTTAAATTCAATTTAATTTCATTTATGTACAAATTAATACGTTCCTTATATAAACAAATGAATAATCAATAACTTGTTTTGTTTTAGATACAACTCTATGTACGATGACGGCCAACCAGGACCAGACGGAAACAAGCTGTTCTACAAACTCAACATTAAATTTGAGATCTACAAGAAAAAGTTCCCATGCTTCTGTTATAAACTGAAGAGCTCAGAAACGTTAGTGGACAAAAAGAAACATTTTGCAGAAGGGCCTGATTCCTGTAATACACCAGGTGTGTAGAAATCTTATCCTCAGTTAATTTAAAGTACTCTCCACGCGTTTAAAAATCCCCAACATCATACTTATGTCCTGTACAGCTTCTTATTCAAATATTTAAGATGATAAAAATATTTAAGTACTAGTTTATCTGAATTGTACCTATTGCCGTTATTATCTCTTGAGCCTTGCAATATCGTAAATATACAGCACGGGGCTGCGATACCCCCCCCCCCCCTTTTTTCTTGCGTGAAAACCAGGCAATATATGATTTCATTTCTATTACAGCTGTCGTCCCTCCCCCAGATAGATGCTTATTTGGCAGGCCTAGGGCCGATTTCAGGGGCGAGTTCCGTCGATTGTGCCCATAAATATCATCATTTTGTAGCTACAGGTTGACTGCTTTTCAGGTTAGTAGCTATTTCATATAATGTATGTAGATCTTATTTGAAAAAAAAAAACGATTTGTGAACTGTTTCATTATTGCGACGCTAAACATGAATGATTATTTTTTGAATGATTATTTTTTGAAAAATAACTTCAGATTTAGACACATTTGAAAGTCTTCAATATAACACAGTTCAACAACATACCGAATGCTTTATTTATTTGTTCACTGCATTATTTATTTATTTATTTATATTTTCAGAGCAATATTTTACCTGAAAACGACGACCAAAATAATGATGCCGAAAGCCGGAGCGAAATCAGGATAAAACTCCACGAAGACTTTTTTTAGCTAATTTACTGTCAAATACATTTCATTTATGGAACTTTTTATGCATAACAGTGCAAGGTGCTGAGAATGATATCAATTTTGCTCACTAGCGGTTGAGACCACGAACTTGGAGGCAATCCAACAGGTGCCTTAAACATTCAGATCTTGCTCAGAAAAATCCCGCCTGGATCTGATTCCTGGATGACATTCTAAACAGTACAAAAGAAGAGCTTACTGGTCGATACACCGATATAGCCAGTTGTATAAACGAAATACATCGGAATTAACATCATTTGTACCGACTTCCAGATATGTAGAAATAAGATGTCTGAAGTTAATTTTTATAAGAAAAAGGTTTCCTTCAAATTAATTTTGTCATAAGATTATATTGCTAAGATTATTTTGTACCATCTTTATGTACTGTAATATATTATTTATGTGTGTGTCATTCTCTTGTGTATTAAGTTGAAATAAAATAGGAAATGAAATAAAAACACCCCGGCATTTCTAGAATACTTGCTTTAAACACTCGGTTTGAATGACCATGAAAAACAATGCCGTGATGATTTTATAGCACACGGAGTTTGCACTTGCATTTGGCGAAGCTTGAAAGATTCCCGGTTTCATTTCGTCAATAATGCGATCGACGGAATGACCAATAATATTTACACAAATCTATATAATTACATTCAGCTTGAGTTCTTTTTACAACAAGTACATTCTTTCAATATCATATTTTCAAATTTGTAATAAAATATTTTCAAAACTGTAATAAGATTAATTATAAACTTGTGAATGAAGCGATTGTCTTGTGTCCACTTTAAGAGCTATAAACTGAATAAAAAATATTATAAAATTGGGGGATGCTGGTGCAGTATGCAACCTGGCCGATGAAAACATAAACATACCCGGTATATAATTATAAACTAGTAGAAGTCAGAAATAGAACGTTTCTTATTTTCAACGAAATAGGTTAAATATCATTAAATGTCACCCATGTGTGCCCAAAACTGGGAAAGATAATTGAAAATAATAAAGACACGCTGACAACTTCTTGATATCGTATTTAGTTCATTCAGTGGCTTTTGAGCTCCAGTATGGAGGTCATCTCATTGAACTAATTGGCCTCATGTGATTGCCTCTCCACCATTCGAAAATCGTCAAAATTCGTGATCATGTAAAAGCATTGTTTCATTACTCGGTGTAATTTCAATATATTTTGCACAGCCTTATGTTGAAATGCCGAGTGTGTTGTATTGTGACGGATGAAAATCCGCGTTACTGAGTTAAGCCTGTGTGACGAAACTGAAAGTCCGTGTAACAGAGAGTCCACCCTCCTTTTAATTATACCGGTTAGGGTTAGCCTGACGTAAGTGGGTCAAGACCTGTGCAAATTAATGGGATCCGCACTCTCTATCATGGGGACTATCTGTCAAGTCACACAGGGAAACATATTGAGATTTTCACGACAACCGTTCCCCCGGGTTTTTTTTTTTTTTTTTTTTTTTTTTTTTTTTTTTTTTTTTTTTGCAATCTACGGCTCAGCATGACTTTACATGATAATTTAGTTCAAGGATGTTCTGACCATAATGAGGTGAATGGTAGTTGAATAAATACCGGGTATATGGTCTGTCGGAATGATATGTACATGTAGGCTACAACTTATAGGGAAAGTGTGCTTTACACTCACGTGTCATCTCTACAAGCTGCCATGCTTATTCAAAATTTCTTCCCGCATATCACTTGACAAATAAGTTAATTGTTATTTCAGAAGTATACAGAGCAATCATAGACTTTTCTGTTGGCACCTTATAACCTCCTGTTCCCTCTTTTTTGCGGTGGGCAGTAAGTGGCTAAAATCATCTGAAATCCAACCACCAAGCTAGCAGATTTTTCCGTGCTTGGTACACTAACAGTGTTCTGCCGTTCCTTAAAGCCACAATAACCATATCCTGTAAGTTGCCGTAACCAGGGCTTCAGTGTCGACAAAACAACCTGTTGACGAGACCTGACTTTCGGTTCTGGGACACTTGCTCCAGGCCAACTTGTTAGCGGCTCAGTCAACCCGGATCCTAACAGCCCTACCTACACATCGCATCCTGTCTTGTGGTCAAATCAGTTTTATTACATCTGGTGCTGTTCCGTGTAGGGAAGGATATAAATAAAGAACGGGGCAATAAACGCATTATTTTGTTCCGTGGTTCAGCAGAGGCGACAACAAATTTAACCTCTGAAGAGAAGATGGGTCGTTTATGTGGGATATTACTTTGCCTTGTATCTGTAGTTGCTATATGCACGGCATCAGAATTAGGTAAGCTTATGTTTATATACTTTAAAAGTATCAAATTAAGGGGGCAGGTTGTTGTCACAGCCAAAAGAAAACGTCATTAAGCCGTACGTTGCTTTGACTTCATGCATGTTCCAAAAAGTAAATGAAAATAGAATTAAAATAAGGATAAATAAAATGTACAAACCTCTTGCGAAGAGCGGAGAAGTTGCTATGTATGATCGACCTCTTGTCTCTTTTTACTTTTTGTTGTCTACATTTACTTTTTAATTTATGTCTAGAGTCGAATTTAAATTCAGACAGATCATTTTACAGTTATATAAACTAAAACATGACACCTCAGTGAATGGTAAGGTTTGGGCTGCAAGAATTAACAACTACAGGAGATAATATATAACGTATAGACTGTTAAGAAAAGAGGTCGAGTAAGGCGTGATCTCATTAAGCCAAAGGTTCAGGCAGTCTGTGTTCATTTTATTTAAAGTGGCAGAGCACAATTTACACGCTTAAAAGTAACTTTAAAAAGAGGCCTTGCTTTGTTTTTTCTGATAGAATTTTCATCGTATTCACTGATATTGTTGTACAAAAGTAAATGAATAAATAAGCAGATAAATAAATAAATGAAAGTAATAAAAAAAATTATTACAACTGTTTTCCAATTAACAGCCCTGAAAGCATAAGGAATAGAATATTCAAGAGCAAAGGCATTACGGTATGTATTTTTTTCTAGGAACAAAGTAACAGAAGAGGTCATATCAGTATCGATTTTCATTTCAGCAATTCGGGAGAAGCGCCAGATCGACGTGAATGCAATCCGGCAGCGCGTGGAACGGCTAATGCGCACGGGGAACATCCCCGATGCCGTCGTCAAGGCCCTCGGCTCACTGGACCAGGTGATGCAGATTCTGAGCTGCCTGCCTACCAGCTGTACCGGGAATTGTTGCACGAGTCCGGATTTCTGCCCCATTCCACAATTAGCTTCAGATATGGTGAGAAACCCTAGGGCAAAGTTCACCTTCTGCAAGAACCCTTGGAAGATTCGGATTGATCTGGATGCCGACTTTAGACTTAGCGGCATTGCTAGACTATTGAAAGTAAGGAAAAAATTATAACTGTGCTTTCGTTGCCTTTTTAAAATAATGGAACCAATTGTCACAATCAATGTCATTATTATTATTATTATTATTATTATTATTATTATTATTACACTGTATTATTACTTGGTATTATTAAACTCTTACAGTTGACTTTTCAATCTGTCTCTAACAATTTATTTTCATCAGTCATTGTTTTTGGTACGTAAGTTAAGCTGCAAACATAGGCCTAAAGCTACATTTTGGTGTTTAAAGTTCAACTTGCTTCAGCGCTGTTGAAAATCACAGTATGTATAACAAGTAGGACAATTGAATACAGAATTATATAAATTAAGTGCGTGAGTACGCATGTGAATGAATTAATGAGAAATATGAAATAGTCTAGCCATAGGCTCTATTCCCATAGATTTTAGATCGATCTATCCCCGCGGGGAGTCTCACTAGATTACTTTCAGATAATCCGACTTAATTGTCCGTCCCGCCTTCTACAAGCTGTAAGGGGGTAATTAACTTTCGTGTCCGCCCGGCTGACAGCTATTTAGCGTGAACCCCCAGGGAGTTAGGTCGATCTAAAGTAGGTCGATATAATCTATGGAAATGGGGTGTAAATATGCATTTAAATTTATGTCTAAAACGTATAGAAATATATATTTGCGTATTTTAGATCAAGCTGAATCCAATTGAGATACCCATCGACAACAGAGAGAGTGAAGGTGTACTAAAGATGCAGTCGACCACAGAGGTCGCCTCTGCTGCCGTCAGACTCATCGGACTGCGACTAGCTAAAGCTAAACTGAAGTTCGATTTCCTTCTCAGATACGACTGTACTAAACCACAGGACAACCCTTTACAGCGAAACAGGTGCGTTTATATGACGTGAGAAGATGAACAATAGCTTTAGTTCTAATGTTGTCATCATGATGAATAATTATTACGGAAGAGCATGTCATGACTTTAGCTGCGTTTTTTACATCAAGGAAATTCCTCCTTATGTTGTAGGCCTATTGACTTAATAGTTTTATAGTTTGATTATACATAGATTACTTTTTGTAAAGTAAAAATAGAAAAGTTTTTGTCTCTCCTAATTCCTTAGAGTTAACATTTGAAGTCTTTATTTATTTCATCTTTTTTTATTTACTCAAGTATTTATTTTTCAATTTTTATTTACCTAGATTTAAATATATCTTGGGCGTTCGTATTTTAAGAAAATATACTGAACAAGCAACAACTCGTTTTGTTATAGATACAATTCTATGTATGATGACGGCCAACCAGGACCAGATGGAAACAAGCTGTTCTACAAACTCAACATCAAATTTGAGGTTCTCACGAAAAGGTTCCCATGCTTCTGTTATAAAGTGAAGAGCTCAAACACATTGGTGGACAAAAAGAAACATTTTGCAGAGGGGCCAGATTCTTGTAAAACACCAGGTTTGTGGAGAGTCAATTTCAGCCAATTAATACTTTCTCTCATCATTTTCTTCTTTTCTTTTTCGTCTTCCTCTTCTCAATTTTATCTGTTAAGCGTGGTAAATTGGTCAAGCCAAAGAAAATTGCATACGTTGCTTGAAACCCATGATCTCAATTAGGGGAGACCGGGGCTAGTTGGCCCAGTTAGACACTTTTGGCCTTGTAGAGCCAACTAGGAGTGGGTTAGAGTAACAAAACCGGTTTCAAAGTAAGCCCCATGAACTAAGCTACGTATGCAACGTCATTATTTTTCAAATATAATGCCAGGTGGCTCACAATTTGACAAAAAACGCAGTTGACGTCAGGGGGGCCAACTTGCCCCGCCATGGGGCAAGTTGGCCCCAGGGTCGGGGCAAGTTGGCCCCCCTATACGAAAATGAAGTATATATCCCATGTAAACGCCTTGAAATACATTTTTATAAATTTTTAATTTATTTAATTGATTTTTGAGAGTCTTTGATGAATAAACAGTTCAAATGAGGCAGATTTATTGAGGTTTCCGTACGTCACATTGTTGGGGGGGGGGGGGGGTATGTGTTGCAAGAACCAAAATATCTATCAATAAAATGTGTTTTGTTTTAATTAAGAATAAATAAATAATGGTATAAAGAATGTTTTTAATGAATGAAAACGAATAATTAATTTTCTTTTTAAAAGAAAGTAACAAAAAAGTAACAAATTCAGTTTTAAACCATCGATTTTGTTTCAACAATGGTCTCTAGCTAGGGAGGGGTAGAAAATCCCCTTGGGGCCACATATAACACTATAAATACAATGGGAATCCCCTTACAATGAATTAAGGCAAAATAAATGTTTTTCTACGGAAAGTACAATGGATTTGCTTTTTAATACTTACAGTTAACAGAATATTTCTAATATAAATTTTCAAAAAGACACCAGAGAGAAAATTTAAAAAATCAATCAGACGGTAATAGACACCGGCAAGCTTTGTCAATTTCACCAACTTGTTTATTTCAAACAGCGTTGCGCGCAAAGGTTTGTGGGTAATATTAGGGTCACACTTGCCCCGAGTCAAAGGGGCCAACTAGCCCTGGGTGCACATTATTTATTTTAAAGGATGGTAGCCATTTCTGGTGCTAGAATGAGCAACGATGATACATCTCTGCGAAACTTGAAACAATGAGCTTCAGTTTGATGCCCTATACATATCTAATATTCGATCAAAAGCCTATGAAAATAGATTTTTAAATCTCTTAAACAAAATTACTTTTAGGTGCAAAAATCGTTTACTTCTACTTACCGCTTAAGTAAAATTTTTTAACGTCCGACACTTCCTTAGCATTGTAGGCTACGGTCACTTTGCAAGAGTATGTGGCCAATTATTTTACCTCGTAGCTACTTTTTCATAAATTGACGGGGGGCCAACTTACCCCGGGGTCCAACTAGCCCCGGTCTCCCCTAATATCCATGGGATTTACCTGATTAGCTAGCTGAAAAAATAAACATAAGCTTGGTCAAATATTAATTTCAAAATTAATTTGGGACATCAACCTTTTCACTGATATTACAATCAACAGAATTTCAGTCTATTAGTTCCTTTTTCTTACAGCCGTCGTTCCAACCCCAGCTATATGCAAATCATTCGACAGGAACCGTGTGTCTTCGATCTTCAGGAGAGCTTTTGACGCATTGCTCAAAAAAATGTGTCCCTAAATAAAATCGTCTGCTATTTGATGCTTTTTCTGGTAAGTGAGAATTTTTGTGTTTTTCCATGGCGATATTTCTTTAAGGTATGTGATTAGTAATTGAGAAGCATTTCACTCTATGACTGTTAAACGTGAAACGAAATAACCATTTTCGTTAAACAACAAATTTAGACACATTTCACGTCTTTAATATTCCAAAGTAATACGACATATTTAATCCTTTATTCATATTTATTTATTCATTTGCTTTTCAGGGCAATATTTGACCTGAAAACGGATAAAGAGTTGTGGCCAAAAGCCGAAGCGGAATCACCTTGAAACTTCGCAATGACTTAGTGATTGTCCTGGGCTCCGTATCTCGAAAGGTTCGCTATGTTGCGCACGTGCGCAAGTGTCTCGATTCCATAACCGATTCTATTTCGAGATACGGGGCCATGGAATCGAGACACTTTAGCACGTGCGCAAGCGTCTCGATTCCATGGCCCCGTATCTCGAAATAGAATCGGTTATGGAATCGAGACACTTGCGCACGTGTGCAACATAGCGAACCTTTCGAGATACGGAGCCCTGCTCTCTTTCGTGTTATTTCAAAATTTTTTTTGTCAAATACATTTCATCTCTTGAACTTTTGTATGAATAAGAATCCTTGTCAAAATATCTGCACTGGGAATAACATATTAAATTGGCTTGGCATGGTTGAGACCACGAACTTAGAGGCAGACGTACGATACACAGGTGCTTCAGTCACTAGAAGGTAAAGCCTGTTTATTCTTATCCTAGTATGCAATTTTCAGAGTGCACTAGTGGTATGTTACAAAATTGCCTGTACTTTAGTTTTGTATACCATTTGAGATGCGCCTGATAACAGAAGGCAATTTATTCAATCTCTACCTGGATCAGACTGGAAAGATTCTGAAGTGTTCATACTTGTCGATACACCGAAATAGCCAGTTTTACTAACGGAATTTATCAGAATTACATGTAATATCCCTTTAGAGCTATTCTGAAACGACAGCAGAAACCAAATAGTAAAAATCAAATACCGAGGTGAAATTTATAGAACAAGTTTAATTTAGTCTTAAGATTATTACTCAGGTTAACTTTTACCTGTACATGTACCATCTATCCATATGGTAGTATACCTGAACATTACTATATATTAGGGTATAGTGCTCGTCTTTCTCTCGTGAATAGAGTAAAATAAAGCATGAAATATAATAAAATCACCCTGCATTACTAGAATATTCCCTTAAAACACTCGTTAAGTATGAATCCACAACCATAAACGATGCTTTTATTGTTTATCTACCTGCCTTCAGCCATACTCGGATGATCCCGAATTTCATTTCGTCAATAATGCGTGTAACGGAATCACACGAGATGCGACGAATGATACGAGTATACATATGTGTACAAGTAGGCCTACATGTATATAACATTCAACTGGGATCCATCATATTTGTACAGCTAGTGCATTGTTTTTATGTATATAATCAGAACTATAACTAAATTAAATATCCACTTGTGAATAAAACAATAGATTCGTGCCGTGTTCTTTTTTTTAGAATTCTTCATTAAATATAAATATATATTTAATTGTTCAATACAGTTAATATTCTTGGGCGATTAAAACGTTAAAATAATAGACAAGAAGTCAGACATCGGGCAGCAGTTGGCTGCCACTAAATGGAACTGTTTGGCATCATTAAATATCACTCACCTCTGGATTTAGGCCTATCAATACATTTTCACACTGAATAAGATATTACTTATCAAAGAAAACAGTAGAAATCAGTAGATCCACTACTCGTAGTATAGTAGGCCTACTAACAAAGTGTGCAGTATACTCATACACATGTAGGCCTACTATGCATCGATCTACAAATATACTAAAAAGATCGCTGGTTTTCACCGGTTTATCAATATATGGCTGGATTTTTGGCATTGTAATAGTCTAATTATATTATTTGGATATTTTCTAATGCTTGAGAGTACAAATAATACAATGCCAACGACAATAAGCTTGTCTTAGCAAGGCACGTTGCTTCCAGAAGATCATAACTGCTTATGGTTTCTCTCCCCGAGCCAATCTCTGGTTGATATCTTCCACCACTTCTGGGAGCTCCGCGATGGAATCAATGACGTAATGGGCACCTGACTTCCTCAGTAGGTCACGTGATTTCTCAGTCCGTACCTCCATATCTTCTGCTGATACTTTAGCTGAAACGTCAATACAAAATCGCCTTTAAAGTTCCTGGATATAGCTTATTTAAGGCGCACTTGGAAATATGTATTTTATAATATTTATTTAAATATTCAAATATGAAAAAAAAATTTTTTTAAATCAAGTATAAAGCATATTTTTCAAAGTTTTTAAAATATATTTATAAGAAAAAATTTTCTTCAAAAGCAAGCAAGTGCGTACAAATTCTTATCACTTTCTGACAATGTCCATGATACAGAGCTACATGCATTTTGCTTGAAATAAATGATAAAGAAAAGAATGCATAAGTTGCCATTAAAAAAGATAAAACATGTACTAGTACATACCCTCATCTTCAAGTGTATGAATCCCCATATAGTTGCTGTACCTGGCCACTCCCACGCCCCAACAGCCCGCCTCGATAGCTTCTCCCACTCCCGATACAGTGTCATCAACCTGGGGAAACAAATACATCAGCTATACAACTGTAGCACATAACATATGTCTTTCCCACAACCCTGATAACAATTCCACCAACTGTGTTCTATGTTGAGTTATGATGATAGTTTCTTTTCATTTTTAGAGAATGAGGAGAAAGATTGTGGAGGGGGGTGCATGGTGGGGGGGGGGATTCTATCTATTAAGTTAACGCCTACGATACCACCTGCTGTCTTATAAAGATACTAACAAACACAAATCTAATTCTCTAATCATTCACATCCCATATGCATAAACTTTGCATCAAAAATACAAAATGAAAATGATAAAGCATCAAGCAAAGGCATAGCTAGCTGCCCCACCCTGCCTATATATCACTTACATCTAAGTAACCTTAGGCACAACAGTGTTATACTGCATTTTAATTCCAACTCTTTTTATTTTAATGAATCTTTATAGTAAAATCAATAACTTAGAAATGATGCAATCAATGCATAGTTTGCAATTGATATAAAGTAATGATATAAAACTTTGGAGGTGATGGGGCTGGTGAGAGGAGGTGGGGTTTGGGGTGGCACTGGGGGGGGGGGTGGCAAGCACACTCTCCCATCCCATCACCTCTGCAGAATATCTGTTGACGAAAAAAAAAAAAAAAGATGCAGTGTAGATCATTTTGTAGTGCTTAGGCACAGCCCACAGATAAATCTTTTCTAACTTTTTGGTAAGGTAAACCGTAAAGAACTGGGAATACTGGAATCCTATATTCAGTTCAGGAGAGGGGCATTCACACTAATAAAATGATGTCAGTCAGTTGCAAGGTTGGCATGTACATTGTAGTGTACCTTGACCACAGCTTGGATGGGGTTCACGTCCAGCAAGTCCATGTTTTTGTAGACCATGTGGGGTTTGGGACGAGCCCCATTGATGACTTCATCCCCTGCCACTGTGACATCTGGCTTGTACCCTAAACAGCAGGTTTTTAGGTTAAGCAGGGAATAAAATTGGTGGGGCAAAGAAAAATTGGATAAATGCTTTAAATGAAGTAAACAAATAAATTAAGCTTAAAAATATCTAAAAAGGGCTGTAGCAATGCAATAGTCCAAAGGTTTATTGGTCCGAAGGATTGATATTCCGAATTAATGCATGAATGAAGTTTATAATGTACTTTTAATTAAGTTAAGTTCATTCGAGGCAGATGCATGTGATTTTTCAGACCAATGCACCTTCAAACCAATGAATCTTCAGATTATCAAGGCATTCCATTTAAAAGGTTGCTCTGTTTCACCACCAGGTTCTCAAGCAGCAGATAAGTAAAACAAATTAGTATAGCAAAAAAAAAAATGAATTATCAAATCTTTGCTAAAAATATGCACATTCAACAATATACAAAAAAATGCGAAGTGGAAAATAGAAAAAAATTAAAATAAAATTATGCCTTCATTAATTGTCAGTAGTGGAGGATAAATTATTAGTAAAAGGCAAATAAAAAAATCAAAAAATCAAAATTATGTGAAAAAATAGTTGTGCTTAAATTTTTACTCAAATTAAGTCCCTGATGCCTTCAATTTGTAGGCTTTTCATTCATCCCCTACAGTGCAACAATTTAAGCCTATGCTCACCTTGTTTTATAGCATCTGCTAATAGTATGTCCACCATAGCTCTGGTGAAACCAGTGGTGGTTCCCAGTTTGCACTTCAGTTCATTCTGCAATCTCTGCAATATATAGCATTGCATTAGGTGAGAGACTCTTACAAAAGTGTGTTAGGTGAGACATACATATATATTAATGCGTTAGATGAGACATACATGTATTACATATAGTGTATTGGGGCATGCTCAGAACATAATGTTAAGTGTAACAAACATCAATATGCAATGTTTTACTTGCCACACCTTAAAATTAAATTTAAACTGAGATCTACTAGGGAAAAGTGGGGCACTGGTAGTATACATTTTCTGATTAGAAATCAAATTTTGTGGATGTTAAACTTCATATATAATGACTGTTTGGTCTTTGCACAGCTTGGAGAGAGAGAGAGAGAGAGAGAGAGAGAGAGAGAGAGAGAGAGAGA